GGCCAACATGCAGGAGGCATTTGCGCGGCCTGGAAGAAGTGGTCAGCGGTCGTCTGCGGGCTTCCGGTCGCCTCTACTCACTCCTTGGGTCTGCCCGGCTCCAGAAGACGATGGGCCTGTCCTGGTTCTCCTTTGCGCCGAGCACATCATGGAAGTGCAGAGCAAAGCGGTACAGGTGACCGATGTGCAGCGGGCCAAAGTCATGGTGGAAGGCGTTGTAGAGGAGGCTGTCGTCAACGCTGAAGTAGTAGGGCGCCTGGCGCGCCTGCTTCGATGGGCTCGAAGGGCCCTCGGCAACTCGCTGGGATCGCTTGCTAGGCGATCTCCGAGCTGGCGTTTCCGCGTATGGGAAGGCTGTGTCGGCGTCGGGAGGGTGGATGTAGGAGCCCAGGTAGAGGCGGTCTGCATAGGTTAGCCATGAAATTGGGTAATTGTAAATATTCAGTAAGAGTGGCGGTGATGTGACGGCCGGCTCGTCGCCTCTCAGAGACATGCGCCGTGGCGGCTCTCCTTGGACTTGCTCCATGGAGGAGTCGCTCCATTGAGAGCAGTAACTAGGCATAGATAACAATGTGGCCTCGTACGTGTGCTTGGAGCTGGTGTCTCGGGCAAGGGATGAGGGCGACTGGGAGGCAGTGTGAAGATGCAGATGCTGGAACGGTAAACAGAGTGAGCTCTTACCGGGTATGTACTCGACGACCTGGCCCATATTGCGCGAACGGGACGAAGGAGGCATCGGAGCTGCGGTTGCTTGCGTGCGAGCCGCAATGAGGAAGGGTTGAATGGACGGGCGTCGCAGCCTTCCACCCCAGACGCCGAACTCTGTACCTGACGGCGGCAGGTGCCAGCTATCTAGTGTTGGTTTCCTGGTGCGAAAGAGGAGTGTTTGCCGATATCCAGAGACAACAAGATATGTATGCGATAGTGCTGTTCGAGCGTTGCGCAAGCAAATATTCAATCAACAAACAACCCAGGTGGAGGCAGAAAATGCGACACAGTGAGGTAAACCGTAAAACCAGGAGGGTATACTCGGAGACAGAGAGAGTGTAGGTATGTAAAGATGTAGATGTTTGTCCGGGAAGGACTTCGGGTCGTCTAACTATAAAGACGATGTTTTTGTGTTGTCTGTTTGTTATGTTGGGGCCGCAGGGTCAGAATCCTGGCCGTTGCATAGTTGTCTCATTTGACCCTTTGCCGAATTGGTCCAAGCCTGTCCCCGGCCTGTTTACCGCGAGTGCGTTGCGGGGCAACCATGGAGCCGTGGCTGAAACGTCGGTCTAGAGCTTGCCGATGACCGCAGCTGAGCTTGGTCCACTTCAGGAGCTCTGCTAGGATCGAGCTGATCGAGCTGCCGCCTTATCTTATCGCAAACTTCGGGAGCTGTGCTAGGCTCTATCTTAGGTAGAAGAGAACGCAGCTCCCGCCCGAGCCGCCGCTGCTAGCATCTTATCGGCCTTCAGATCGGGGGGAATCATGGAAAATAAGAAAAACATCACCCCGCGAGCCCGCCTTTGCTGCCCACCGGACAACGCGAACCTGGTCGCATCGCATTGCGCATTTCACATTCCCCAGCTGCCTCGCTAGTGAACCCCTACTAGTCCATCGGGTTGCTCGACAACCATGACGTCGCAAGCAGATCCCGAGTTCCCTTGTGCGCTGTACGTTGTGCTAGCCCACTGGCATGTGGCTTGTCGCTAGAACCCAACACTGACTGACTGACTGACTATAAACCTGCTGCTCACCAGGACCATTGACGTGCCCTTTCCGACCGCCAGGCTGGCCACCGTCGCCCTCAAAGCCCTGAGAGTCGATAAAGAATTGTCTCCCTTGGTCTCGCGGGCCTTCTCCCTCGCGTCGTTGAAGCCGGAGGGTTCCGAAGATGGTCAAGAAATCAGTATTTTACGGACCGAGTACAAGGCCACAACAAACAGAATGTTGCGAGTAGCTGTCAACGGCTTCATGGAGAGCTTGAATCTCGTCATTGAAGTTATGGAAACGCTCGACGAGGATGTGTTGGCTGCGCAAGAGCCCGAGCCTTGACGAAACTGACGATATTGGCGATGATGCTGTTGCCATTGCGGCTACTGGCACTGCACATTGAAAAACTCCACTCGCTGCACATGCTCTTCGAGGTGTTGCGTATCTGCAAGCACCTCCTGGTACGGTGGTACGCAACACCGCTGTTGGGCAACGTTTGCTTGGCGTGGGAAACTTGAATATTTCATCCATGAGCGCACTCGGGTCTCAAGTGACCATCAAATCACCCAGAAGAACACACCTCATTGAGTCGGAAAACATGCTTTGAACCTAACTAACACCTGCCTACCTATCCTACCGGATCTGTCTGCTATTTTCCTTTCCAAAAGAAACCCCTACTCGATGTCCACTTTGTGGATTTCAGTCCACTCCTTCTCAGCCTTGGGAACAGTGACGACCAGCAAGCCATTTTCCATCTTGGCCGTGATCGCAAGCCCGTCGATATCATCCTTCTCGTCACTGCCGGCTGGCGGCAGCGGGACAGTCCTCTCAAACATGCCAATGTCCCTCTCACCGGAGGAGAGCGAGTTGATGAACTCCTCATCGCCTGGACGGTGGACAATGCCAGCAATCTTCAACTTCTCTCCATCCCAGCTGACGTCAATGTCCTCTTTCACGGCGCCGGGCAGTGCGACGTGAAGCACGTATGCGTTGGCTGTGTTGAAGACATCGATGGGCGGGGCGAAGCCGTCACTGGAGCCCTGGTTGCCGCGCTCGGCTGTGTGGGGCGGGTTGCGTTGGTTGTTCTGATAGAAGCCCTGGAATGCTCGAGCGAGCGGATGGTCCGAGACTGCTCTCATGAATGGCGAGAAGTCGAAGGGCGGCCGTGGCCCCGGCGGTGGGGGTCCCGAAGGTAGCGGGAATCCCGGCGGTAGAATCCCAGAGAGTCCCTCAAAGGGATTACCACGGCGTCCCCGGCCTCCGCGTCCGCCACGTCCTCCACGTCCTCCACGTCCTCCGCATCCGGGACCGCGGTGTCGACATCCAAATCCAGGCGGCGGCGGAGAACCCGGCGGCGGCGGAGGGCCACGAGGGTGCGCGCGAGGAGAGTCATCGAACGGCGGAGGCGGAGGGGGAGGAGGACTGCCGTTGTCCGAGCCGTCCCTCATTGTCGCGGGAGATGCGTGCTCAGCGTCCGCCTCGGCCTTCTCGCGATTCTGTCCGTCCTCGTGGTGATCATGAGGGTGAATCATCGTGTGATCATGATGGTGAGGAGGAAAGGGAGGAGGGGGAGGAGGGGGTGGACCGCCATGACGTGCCCAGTGATCGTGGCCATGAGGAGGCGGCGGCGGGCGAGCGTGGTGGTGTTGCCAAGGGTGGCCGCCGGCTGCTCCCCAGGCGGCTTGCCAGGGGCCACCGCGCGGCCAGCCTCCCCAGGGACCGCTGCCCCAAGGGCCGTCGGCCCCGTCCAGGTGGCCGTGTTCGTCCATTGCCTGGCCGAAGTGGTTGATTGCGTCCCAGCTGAAGTCGTTGTTGTAGTGGTTGCCTGGCATCTTGATCAACTGAATGGTGAAGGCTGAAGAGGAGAAGTGGTAGACAGATGACTGGGGGCCAAGCTCCCTTCTTATACACCTATTGCAAACAGCCTCGCCAGGTGGCCAGCTGTCGGATTCGCTCAGATATAGTGGGCGTGCGTCACCTCAAGGTCTAGGCAGGCGAGGCAGGGTGATGTACGCAATGCAGGTCTGAGATCTAGCATGCTAGCCTGCAGATGACAGGCTGCCAAGGCAGCCCAAGGCAACCGTCCCATAGGCTCGAACGTGTACTGCAAACGACGTCTGGACGTTTTTTGCCACGCGCCTCTTCGCGTCGAGACGCTGATTGGCCCGAGCTGGCGGCTTGAGGCAGCCCAGCTTGGGAGCTTGGGCCAATGTGTCGGATGCGTGCGTGGATATGCGGGGTTGAGGTGGCGAAAACCAGAAACCAGGCGACGAAGCAGTCGGGGGCCTGAGGGGGCGGACGGTCGCGACGTTCGGACGGTGTCGACGGCGGCCGCGGTGCCGCGTCAGTCCAGCGCCTCCTGCCTGCTTGGGAGGCCTGCCACTCCAGCAGGCTGCAGCCTGGCCTGCCTGGCCTGCCTGGCCTGCCTGGCCTGCCTGACCTGCCCATGATTTTCGATGCAAAAGGGGCAGCCTGGCAGCCTGGCTGCCTGGCCTGCCCAGACCATGCAGACCCTGATTACCTAAGGTACAATCCACCCACCCAGGGCAGATCCGCCCCACCGACCCGTCCACAGCACCGCAAAAAGAGCCTCACATCCATCCCGGGATTTCCAGGAGTTCGGGTGTCATTGGCTCCTTTAACACCCGGCGCCTCCATCAAATCATCTGGTTCTCCGCCGAGAGCTGGACCGCGTCGCATCAATGGATGCGGGATTCCACGGGCTTGTGGTTTAGTGGTATAATACTCCCTTAGCATGGGAGTGGTCCGGGGTTCGATTCCCCGCGAGTCCATCGTCGGGGGTTCAATTCCCCTAATAGCTGTTGTTCGCTTTCTTTTTGGCAATTATTCGTGGGCTACACAGTGTTTCCCGCGCCCAATTGAGAGGGAGATAGATGTAGGTAGTTCAAACTTAGCTTTTCCCTTGAAGCATTTTGCAGATAGAGTTTCATCTGGCAGTGTTAAAATAAGATTTCTATGCAACTGCCAAACCCTCAGCTCTATGGAGTACTAGTAGAAGACAAAGACAAGTCAACCTGTCGTGCCTGTGCAGACTGCTTGAGTGTGAGTTCAGTCCCCAAAAATTTTTGGCCACATAGCGTTCGCATAGTTCATTCCCAACTAGGTTAAAGGACAAAGAATTCAGGTATTATATCTCTAATCCACGTGTCTCTGGGCATGTCTGCATGAATCCATGAGTTTTGCTGTACCTACTAGTACAAGACACACAACAGCTGGGCAGATGTGCAGCAGCGTATAGGTAAGAAGAACAGACAGCGAGAGCAAGGCACATGCAAAAAGTGTGGTCAGTATGAGGATTGAACTCATGACCTTCGCATTTACTTCATATTTCCCCAAGGAGAGATATTAGTACGACGCTCTAACCAGCTGAGCTAACCGACCTTGGCAATAGTTTTCAAAATGCTCCCTATAACGGCTTGGCTAAACCGCTCGGAAAACCAACTATTGGCGAGCACTGGCAGGATCGTCGAGGCTCCACTTGGGGCTGTCCTTGCACGTGATGAGTTCAACCAACCTCTGTCCATCTCATCATCAGGAGGTTAGGCTCTGGTGGTCGGCCATGAGTATGTCAGCTACCCGTTAGATATAGACAACAGGCTTCTGTCACGGCGGGCTTCTAGCCGGCCCGTCCCGATGACGGCACCTGACCTGGCAAGGGATCTGGGGATCTAGGAATTCCTACATGTACATGAGGCTCTTCGGACCTCCTTCGTCTTCTCTTTGGTTCTGACTCCCTAAGGGTCAGCGTTTGTATTAGGCTGACTGCAGAAGTTATTCCTCTTTGCTCTGTGCCTGACCCATCTCTGCAGTGCGGCTGTGACAGCTTCCGTGTAGCTTGGTACAGAGGAATTTGAAACGATGTTTCGGCCACCAGAATCCCCGAGAAAAATCATCGTTATTTCTTTCAACCCACTGTATCCTACCGTGTTCCTTCATTCTCTGGAAATCCATTATGTGCACTCTGTACGGCTTCTGATATCAGGTCAGAGAACCGAGCGGCCCGAAGGTTCCAACTTCTAGCACGGCATGCGAGTATAGTAATGGCAGACAACACCAGACTTAACTCCATGCTGTGCTAAACAGCCTACTGGTATACTAAACACTAAAGCCTTGCCACAAGCTATAAATACATACAGTATCCTATCGTATCCCTTAGGACTGCTGCTTATCGCGCCACTACTAAAGCTTAAATAGTTACCTATTCTATAATGGACCCCCCTCACATATTTCTGACAAAAAGTCAAACTCCAACAGAGTTCCTAGATTTCACCCTTTAAATTAGATATTAAAAAGTTAATGGAATTTCTAATAAAAGCAAAACTATTACGGGCGTATTACTGGCTAAGGGCGCAATGGTTTAAATACCTGGTATATTAATATAATAAACTGCGTAAGGAAGAAAAAGCAGAAGTAAATAATAGATTAGCCAGATCTAATATAAATATAATAGTGTGCGGTGGGTTTCCTATTCCCACCTGCTCGGTTAGCTTACTAGCTGCTAGTTTATAATAGAGTGCAGTGGGGTAGCCGGTCGGTTTCACTCTATTACGCTCCACCACCTTTTAATATAACCGCTTATTACCACTAGCCTTACTAGTGATATATGCGTTGGTTATAATTACCCCCCCCCTTAAAAAAAAAAAATCTTAACCCGAGATTATTATTACGCCTGGGATTTAAACCGTTGGGGTATAAGTTAGAGCCGGAGCGTTTAATTAACTGCTTTCTAGGCAAAAAAAGGATACCCTTAAATTAACTTCGGGTCCGTGTATCGGGGCCCTTAATCCCTAGCATTTTACCGTTGCGTTATATAACTAATAGCAAAATTTTTAATAGGTTAGCTTTTAAAGGGGTTAATATTACCTTTTCCCGGTTCGGTTAATTTTCGGCCGGGTTAGGCGATTATTATCCGGATAAAAAGGGTCGAATTTATTATTTTCCGCCGTTTTAAGCCATTCTGCGAATCGCGCTAGGGGTCCCGCTTTAGTGGGATTTTCGTTATAATACCTTTATAAAAGCATTACTGTATTTTTAAAGTTATTAGCCGGTTCCTAAACGGGTTTTATATCCTAACCGGTTTATTTAGCCTTATATTATAGCTTTTAGCGGTGGAATCGTAAGGATAAAATTTCCTTATATTCCCACTCCTTTTTACCCAAGTTAGGGTTAATAATTTCTCCCTCGGGGTTTATAAGTCCTTGGCCCGGTACAAGGTTATTCGGATATTTTCTTAAGCAATCGGCGTAAAATTAACGGAACCCCCTCCAGCGGTTACTTAGGCGGAGCTTATAAATATACCCGGGTTTTTTCTTAATAATTTCGTAATACTTACGCGTTATAGGGTAATTAAGCTTATTATTAGGCCGGTTTATAATAATACCCTTCTTTTTAATAATATATACGCGGTTATTAACGTTAAAATTAAGTTCGCGGCGATATTAATTCGCTTACCGGTATATACGGTTTTAAGCCCGGCTAATAACCTCTCGTGCTCGTTCCGTAAAGTCCCGAATCCGCAGGGCTATTTATTAAGCTTTTTACCGCAATACGCGTTCGGGCTTTAGGAGCCGGGAAAGGTCCTTTAACCGCGATTCCTAATCGAAGGGCATTTTTATAGGCTGCTTAATAAGGATCTCTTTAAGGGATATATTATTAAGGGATAAATATAATAGCCCGGCTTATACGGCGTTTAGCGCCGGTAAGGCTTATAACTAATTATTTTAAAAATAGCTAACGAAGGGATAAAGCCTTTAATTAATATATTCGTTTATAATCTCCACTTAGCCGGTAATTTCCTTATACCCGGGGGTATTAAAAGTAAGTCGGATACCGTGGATCCGGGATAACTCGTTAATAAAATCACTAATAAATTAAAAGCCCTGGTTATTAACAATAATATCGGGCTAACCCATTCACCGGTACGGTCCTTTATAATATATTTAAGCGGTTTAGGGCGCTATAACGGTATTTTTATAAGGGATAATCCAAAAGAGCTTTAAAAAGCGGTTAATAATTACGAAAACGTTATTATATCCTGCCTTATCGAGTAATATACTCTTAAAATCGATTACTAAATCTCTTTAGGGGACCTTAGGTATTAATAATAGGGTTAAAAGACCAGGGGTTTTATCCCATAGGACCTTAACCGCTTTATACGAGTAATTTAAAATATATTACAAGATATAATTATATAATCCCGGCCACTAATAGCGTTAGGCCACTAAATATTTAATCTTTTCTTTACCGGGATATACCGTTATTAATTTCGCGTATACCTTTTCCATTACTCTTATATATAGATTATTGGCCTCGGGTACTACTAGCCTTCCTTTATAGGTAACGAGGTTTCCTAATATAGCCTAATCCGGTTTACTCGGGTTTTAGGCTTTTTTACGGTAAGGCTCGAGATCGGGGTCGGTTTTATTCTATGCTAGTAATAAATTAATTAATCCTATACCGGATTACTCCGGGATCTCGTCGGTTAATACGTAGATTTCGGTAACCGGGGAGTCGGGATACAGGGGCTTTTCTAGGGAGTAAATAACATCCTCGCTAATTACTTAATTAATTAATTAAAAAAGTATTATAGTTTTTTAGGCATTTTTTTTTTCCTTTTAAATACGGATATCGTTAATCGGCCGGGAAAGGATATTAATAATAATATTCTTCGAGCCCGGGCAGTACGTAATCATAAAGTTATAATAGGATATTAATTCCGATTAGCCGGCTTAACGGAGGTTAAAAACCCTTTTAATATTAAAGAACTCTAATACCTTATAATCCGTAAGGATTAAAAACAGGCGGTAATATTATAATCCTATTAATTCCGGTTTCCAGTAATATAAGCCTTTAATTATTATAAGGAGCTTTTTATTATATATTCCGTAATTTAATTCCGCGCCGTATATAGTTTTTAAATAAAAGGCTATTAGGTACCACGGTTCTTTTTCTTTATTCCGCTAGGAAAGGATCCCGGAAATAACCCCGTTAAAGGTATCCGTTTCTATTATTGTCTCCTTATTATAGGAGAAGTATACTAGTAAGGGTGCCGAGGTTAAGGAATCCTTTAAGCGTTCGAATACTAGCTAATACTCCTCCGTCCACTTTAACTCGGTATTAATGCATATAAAAGCGTTTAACGGTACCGTAATTCTCCCGAATCCCTTAATAAACTTACGGTAAAAGTTATAAAAGCTAAGGAATAATCGGACACCTTTTATAATAACTTAACCTCCTTTTTAAGGCTCTTACCAGTAATGGATAACCTCTACTTTATTGGGATTAATTTTAATGCCTTTTATACTAATAATAAATCCCAGAAATTTAATCTTGGTTATATAAAATTCGTATTTCTTAATATCGGCTTAGAAACCGGTTACCCGCAGGCGTTATAGGACCTTATTAATATGGTTTTTGTATTTTTTAGGGCTCCTCGAGAAGATTAGGATATCGTTAATATAAATAGTATAGAATTTATCGAGATAGCCCCGTAAAATATTATTAATATATCGTTAAAAGGTAACCGGCCCGTTAATTAAACCGAAAGGGAGTACCCAGGACTAATATAACCTATACCGGGTACGGAATATAATAAGGTCCTTATAACCAGAGGTTATCCGTATCTTATAAAAGGCTTATCGGATATTAATTTTCGAAAAGCATTTAGCTTATAAGATCCTTAAGAGTATTTCTTCGATTAAAGGTAAGGGGTACCGATCCTTACGGGTAATAACGTTAAGCTTTCGGTAATTAATACAGAATCGTAAACCTTTATTAGCCTTACGAGCAAAAAGGATCAGGGATACCCATAAGGCTAATAATGGTTTAATAAATCCCTTTTTTAAATTATTGGTAATATATTTCTTATAAGCCTTTAATTTTTTTAATATTAACTTATATAAAGGAGCATACCTAACCTTACTAGCGTTATCCTCTAAGCGGATCTCGTAATCGACGCCAGGGTAGTATAATAATAGCTTATCGGATAAGGCCTTATTAAAAACATTTAAATACTAATAATATTATTAGGGAACCAGTTTTATTACGGCCTTATAAAGGGCTTCCTTATCGTTAAGGAGGAGGTTTTCCAGCCTTAATTCTTGCTTTTCTTTAATAACTCGGTTAATCTTTATAAGGGTGGTAGCTTTAAGGTCCGTTAAATCTCGTTAAGATAAAAGCTCGAAGCTAATAACCCCCACGAGTGCGATATCGAGGTAATAATCCGCTTTACGGGTTACCAGGTAACTAGGAGACTTTTAATGGTTATATTCCGGGGCGATCCGGCCCTTTAGCGCCCGCTATATTATTTACTAACCGCGGTTTTCGCGGGTAAGGTTTTTTAAGATTACCTTCGGGGGATCCGGTGGGTAGTAAGCTAATAC